AATTCACTTCCTCTCCTATCTCGTTTGTCTCGTTGCTCGTTTCGTAAATTGAAAAGAATCGTACCCACGGAGACCTCATTCAACGTTCGCTCGAAAGTCACTTATCCTCTTCCCATCAAAGGGGAACGCCATTTTTCACGCGGCTCCGAACGGTTCCTTCAAAAGCGCCTAAAATTTCGTAGCTGCCTCCTTTTCACACCGTTTCTATAGAATCGTCCGACAGGTGATTCGTGCGTTCTCTCCGTCGCGGCATCGCGACGTCCTCGTCGTTCCCCGCGAGGGACGTAACCTCTATCCGTCCGTTTTCGTCTTTTCTAGACATTTCGCCTCCTTCTCTGTCGCTATTCCGACCGGTATCGTCGTCCTTTTCGTTCGAATCTCGCGTCCTTGTTCCGCGCGCCTCTTACTCGCTCGCGTATCAACAATCTATATTAAGGACGTGGGAATGTGAAATGGCTTGTCCAGCTCGAGACCGTAGGAGTCGCGGTGTGGTCTCGCGAGAGCAGCTCCATCTGTCAAACTCGTGCGTCGCGACGCCGACAGTTTATGTTCGAGCATTACTTTTGCTAATTTTCATGCAACGGCGCGGCGACCAGCAAGAAATAATATTTAAACGGAACAATTCAGACCATTCGAGCGGTTTAATGGTCCCCGTTAGTAGTTAAATATTTTTTATTTTCGCAATTAATAGAAAAGACTACTGTTAGATACAGTTACTCTCGAGAAGGCTGATTGAATTGCAAATTATTTTAGGAGGAACATTGTTTTGCCAGCGTGGGTGGTCTAGACTCGCGATATAGACAGTACCTATTCGTCATCGCTGCTAGCGAGTACGATGAATAGCAAAACAAAGTGCTCCGTGTGTTCCAGAAGAGTCAACAACTCGCGCGGCTGTTTCGTTTCTTGAAAATTTCGCTCGGTGTACGTAATCTCGCGTTTCCTCGAGCTGCAATTAACCAACAACGAGCACTTGTCCGCGATCGCGGAGCGCGACGTTTATATAATTCGGATCGCGGGACGCGTGTCGAGCACACACGAGAGGCATGAAACTTGTCCTGGCGTCGTAGCCGCGATTTGGCGGTCTACGTTTTACAGGAATCCATTCGTAACGTCGTGTTTTGCTCGTCTCTGGTCATTGTTGACGCATACAAAGTAGAGCGCTCGCGATTGTTGCCGGTGAAAATTATTTCAACCTCGAGAGGTGGTCCTCCCCTCTAATCGCGTTAACACGCGACGCGTCGTACGCGTCTGTCGGCCGCGAGAGGCTTGTTTGCGAGATCAATTAGCTCGCCGCAACGCGTCAAGCGGACAAAGGTTGCGGGCGTTTCACGGAATCGTCGAAACAACGAGCCGTCGACCGATTCTACTATTACTCAAGTTGAATACAATATTTGACCCACCAAAAGGACACGTAGCATACTGTTTGAAAATTTTTAAATTTTCTATCATATCTTCGTGGCAACTTTATCGATGGATCATTTTCCAATAAGATACATGTCTATACATGTACAGGAATAGTTTGTTGAACGTTATCGATGTCGTTGTCGACGTAAAGGCGCGAAAATTGCGGGCAAACGTAACTTGGACCGAGGCTCGCGCGTCGAAATCGAATTCCCGGAACAGACGCGCGCCGATCGTTTACGATCGCCACTTCGGCCAGCTCGAGACAGCGCCGATTGCCTCTTAGCTCGGATTCCCGTCACGTGCGGGAAACTATCGGGCGTGCTCGTTTTTTTCCTCTCTATCTCTCCACGAGGAAATTGTTCCCGCAGCGCGAACGCTCGACTTAGCAAACGCCATGCCAATCGCATTCCCGACGCCGGATCGAAGAAACGCTGGCCGTGTTCGGCTACACGCGAAATTCATCGTCAAGAATCGTAGCTATCCACCAATAACCAACTTATTATAATTAATATATTAATTAATCGTCTATTTTACGTCCAACTTCGAGAATCGCGATCTGCGTTTCGGTGTCACTAACAAAGAATTTAGATTTTATCACGATAGTAATTCATTTCCTGGGAAAATAGTACTGTTGTGTTTTAATATGATAGCTCCAAGAAAATCGTAGCCAGTGTTTTTGAGGTAATAATGCACCGCCTAATTAAAACTATTGTATAGTAATAGCTAGCTGGTCAAACTGAACGAATACAAAATTCTAAACCCGTTTTGAAACAAAAGAGAGCAAGTGTTTTCCAAGTTCCGTAACACTGTCGTAACCCCTGCAGTTACCCTGCACGTAGAATTTCAACCGCCATCTTTGGCACACGCTGTACGGTGTAAACGTTTAGAGTCGACAATTTGTCAAACTTTCCCGCGCCGGTTTCCGTTCACGATCACGGACAACGATTTCCCCGTGGCGGTTCTATATGGCGTTACAAATCGGTTCGGGATTCCGTGCGCGCTGGCTGATTTGTGATAATCTCCGCTGTCCAATGACGGATTTGTCGCAGCCGGCCCTAAATGGCGAGCATTTCTGTCGCCGGGAATTTTCTCTGACGGCGTTTGATTCGTGCGCTGCCGGTACGTGATTCGCGACCGTACGAGGACCGGCAAAAACTTGAAAAGCCGCGAACACGCGCTCGCACGCTCTTACGCAATCACGCGAATCCCGTTGTCCACCTTGTTTTCTGTCTACGGTCAAGATACGCACAGCTGACCGACCCGAGCGACGCAATCGCGCCGCGCGATTGTAAACACGCCTGTTTCCCGCCCTTCCAGCCCGTCCCGTGCAATCCGCCATCATTTTTTAGCCAATTTACAGACGCGACAACTCCATTTTGCATCCAAGGTCAGAATTTCCTTATTTTATTTCGCGTCTGTCCATTGTCCACCAATTCTACTTACGTCGAAGTTCAAATCGTACCGAGGCGTTCAGAGAAATATCGAACACAAGAAGACTCCTATTAAATATTATTTATGATGATTCAGACCGGATCAAAGCACGAAAAAGCAGATAAGCGGATAAAGGGTAAAACTCGATCGTACGGATCGCTTCTCTCGATCGACGCTCCCGATCGCGTGCAGATATCGATACGAATTATTAAATAGAAATTCCATCGGAGAGTTCGTGGCCTCTGACGTTGAAATTGTACGTCTTCCGGCGGAGAGCCGCGGGCGCGTGTATCACCAGTCACGTTCAATCTCCCGGCGAGACGTTATTAAAAATTATCAATCTACGTTACCCGTAGTTTCTCCGCAAAGCCAGAATCCAAGCGTTTAAGGCGGATTTAAAATACCGCGACGATTCCGATCGCGAACGTAAACGCTTTCTAACGGAACGCTCTCGCGAAGGACTCACGCTGTCCGCCTCTGCTTTCAGCGTCTCCGATATATAATATTCCGCGTCCCGCGAAAGTTTCGCTCCTAACCGATGCACGCGCGTACACTAGATCATACTCCAACCGCGGACAATGAGCGTTTCGTAGGCGGAAGCGATCGGATCCCCAGGCAGTGCTCGTTTTCGCGTGCGCCGACACGGCACCGTAACCTCTTTCACACAGTCGCGGTGACAGCCAAGGATCATCTGGCGTACGGGAGCCGTTTCCAACGCGTCCGACGTCGGGATCTAAGATCGTTGCCGAGAGATTGCCGCCAAGGTACCGCTGGATCCGCTTCCAAGCCACCGACGAGCATCTCGCGATCATTACCAGTTTGTCAACCTTCCGGCGTTGTTCCCTGCTCGCGACGACATCGATTAATCAACGCCACCGTACCGTCCTCTGCCGCGACGCGTCGTCTGAATCTCGGATCCGCGAATCGATAAACACGGGGTAGAAAAAGATGGCCACGAAACGGCCGCTTCGATAGCGATGGACAGCCATCGCCGACGTTAGGTGTCAACTTTTTAGTTCGCGTCTCGCTAAAATGTCCCGGTAGTCAACAAATAAGGTACGAGTAATTGTAGGGCCTGGGGCAGAAATGTGGGCCATCGACAGCGACATTTCCAGCGGATGAGTCGTCGGTCCCATTCGGGACGCGTACCGCTACGCGAGCTTTTGGGTTTTCGGACCGTTAGCAGGCCCGCCCACGTAGCTTGCGTCAGGTGAAGCCCAGAATCCAAGCGTTTCCGGTACCCAGTGTAGTATGTGGACGCCTTCCACCGGGTCGACAGGTTTATTCCGCGTTGGAGGGACACCTTGTTGCGTTCGAAACGCTTTAAAGTTAAAATTGAGGCCTCGTGAACTTTGATCTCAACAAAACAGCATTTACATGGCAGTCGATGGTGGAATTCTTATTTATTTAATTAATTCAGGTACAAAATGTATCGTTAATGAAACATATCAAATCGAAAGTAATCTTGAAGAAGTAACGTTGTAAGAAAAGAGAACAATTTTAAAAGCGGAGCCAGCCCTACTTTCGAAGCGATTCTATTGCCCCGCCGACAGGCGTTTAACTCTGCGAAGGGCCACGCCACGTATACGGTCTGCCTCCTGCTCCACCCAGCCACCCTTTCGCCGTTGTCGGACCTTCTGGAGGCATGCTAATTCTCGTGACACGCGTAACATTAAACCTTGACGTTTAATCCGGTAGAGACGCGCGTGGCCCTCGCAGATTCGCACGGTCGACCCTTTATATGGCGCGGCCGATCTTTCATCCTAGACGCGTCCGACGGAATCCTCGACGAAAGGAACGACGGGTTACCTTCGAGACTTGCCTTTCACAGAAACCGTAGCAAACATTCCTAATTAAAACTCGCCGCTCTCTATACAAAATTAATTTACTTTCGAAAACACAATTTAATCATTCATGCGCACAATATTAACTCTGGAATAATGGGGGTTCCATTTTCCATTCGTAGATAATACGATGGAAAAGAGAATAATTCGTAGTGTCAATAAAGTAGAATTGTCTGACAGGGAGAATAATTCACTAATTTAAATAATGTCACTTATTTTTACGGTACGGATAGACAGTTCCATGTTACACCGAAAGTCGTACACCCATCCAGTGGTCGTAGATCATTCCGATAACTAACTCCGTTTTTCTTCTGGTTGCAGTCGTTCTTCGGGCGCACCTACAACAACCTGGGCAGCATCTCGGAGTGCAAAAACGGCGGCGTGTGCGTGATCAACAAGAAGAATCGCACCGCGTGCAAGGCGTGCCGACTGCGGAAGTGCCTGATGGTCGGGATGTCGAAGTCGGGTTCGCGATACGGTCGGCGATCGAACTGGTTCAAGATTCACTGTCTGCTCCAGGAGCAGACCAACGGTGGTCAGAACGTGAACGTGACGGGGGGCGCGGGTTCGCCGTTCGGGCCCGGGTTTCTGCCAGGATTCCTGCCTCAGCCGCCGAGCCAGCAGAACAGCGGAGTGTACAAGGACGCGAAGGATCGCGCGTCGCCTAGTCAGGAGGACCTAGCCCTCCAGTCGCACTTGCTGCACGTGGCGATGCTGAAGCAGGAGCGCGAGAGGGGCAACAAGTCGCCTCACCCGGACGACGTGGCTCTTCAGAACCAGCTGCGTCTGCTGGCCTGGCAGAAGGAGCGCGAGAGGGTGGGCGGTAATCCTCAGCAACCGCCTGGCACGCCGCCCAGAGACACCGGGTCCCCGCCGTTCTACAAACAGGAGCAGCAACAGTACCCTGCTTCTTCGATGTTCCCGATGAACTTCGCCCAGAAGGACACGGTCTGCGTCCCGTCCACCCCCACGGACGTGTTCAGACCGTTCTTGCCTACCTACAAGAGGGAGGCGGACACGCCCAGCGACAGCGGCGCTTCCTCGGTGGACGGTGGCGACGGTCAGGACACCGAGTCCAGGAGTAACTCCGCGCTGAGCTATTTCAAGACCAGCGCCGCGTCCCCGACGCTGTCCGAGCGCGAGTTCCCACCCAGGAAAATCAACGCCACCGTTACGCTCACGACAGGCTACCATCCCCATCAAGGTCTGGGTCTGGTGTATCCACCGCCCGGTCTGGTCACGCCAGCAGCCTCCCAGCATTCGCCCAGAGGCGGTGATCTGCTGTTAGTCAGCCCGAGTCCTGGCGGTTTGGCCGTCGAGCAGGACGAGCCGATCGATCTGAGCGTCAGGTCCATCAAAAGCTCACCGCGACCCAGCCAGTCCTCGGAAGAAGACAACAGGTCGAACGACAACGAGCCGGATCGCGACAGCCCGGTCAAGGAGGAGACCACCACCAAGAGCAAACCCCTGGACCTAACGCTAGGTGTAAAGAGGGAGTTGCCCCTCTCGTTGTGAAGCCGCCAGAGACCCAGCAGGCCCGCGACGGGCTGGTCCCGAGTTCTTGTCGAGCACCGAGAGGTGCCGTTGAATCCTCGTTGAAGAGGATTCGACCTGGAGATGGTCCACCGGCGGTGGACGACGGTTCCCTCCGAGGAGGGGAACCGAGTTTCGAGACGTTCGTAAGGGTCGTCGGAGGAATCATTCCGTTGCGGAGTAGCGACATCGAGAGCCCGCCACGATAATGTGTTCAAATAATTGTACATACGCGTCCCGTTGAATCGATCCCGGAAGCCGAGATTAATTTATTGCGATAGTAAATAGAACGCTTCGATCGACGAGTATTCGCATAAATCTTTTTTCCCGACGCGTGGAGGTTGTCGCGAATTTCCGTCGTGCGCGTATATGCATAGGAAAACCATGTAAACCCCTGTATAAATGAAACCGAGAGTCGCGGATATTACCGGCCAGTAGTGGAGTGCCTTAATATAATATATTTATATAAATATTCTATATGTATATGAACGTATACCTTGGACGGACCGCTTTAGGATCTTATCCTCTATCGTAACGCACGGTCCCCAGAACATTTTCTATTCTCCGTTGTACAGCGAAGCGTCGGGACGTGGAAACGCCACGGGACGGGGAGCGTCGAAAACGCGTGCGTCCCCGCCGATTCCGTGGCCCCGTCGCGACGGGAGGCCAGTAAACAAAACGAAAAATCAACGTGTCAAAGAGACGTGCGCATCTTGTAAATAAGCATGGAAGGGGGGGATGACTCGTCCGCGAATCCATCGCTTATGCGCTTCCGCTTGGTGCACGATCTCCCTCGGCTGGGCGCAAACGGCGAACGATTTTCTCTCTTACTTCGCGTTCTTTTCTTCCGACATTACGTTCCCCCCCATTTTTGTACATAATAGCACGTAAGCGGTGAACACGAGCGGCCAGTACCTAAACGTATCGCGAAATTAAATATTTTTGTTTAATCTAGACGTGTCTCTTCTTCCGCACCCTTCTCTTCACCATCCCAACTCAACGATCGTCGACGATTTATTTTAACGTCCACGGAACTGCTGCTGCTAGACGGTGTCTTCTCAAGGTATTTCAGTCATTATTATTTATTACTTTGAAAGATCAATGTACGTATTTAACATTGTGGGACCGTCCGTTCTCAGATCGGGAAACAAAGAGTAGAAAATATTGCTCCGGGTGATTTCACTGCGTGGGCATTAGGTTGTAACATAAATAAGATTCTAAGTCTAGGCATTAAAACGGGAAGCTGTCGTCGATAATATTGGGGATTATTTATAATTGCTGGAATGTAATTCTGTGCTTTGTTAATAAATAAAAGGAACTATCGAGTGTAGCTTGTTTATGTTGCAACCCGGTAAAACATCACTATAAATTGAAAGTTGAGTAATAGTTCTGTTCCTTGAATCGTTCCCTATCGCACGACCGATCGAATAACGTGATTAATTGGGGGAGGGGGGGAGGGGGGGGGAGGGGGAGGACCGCGTGACTCCCGTTGGGAATCTCTGTACCGTACGAAGGATAGGAATTTAGATTGCAATTGTTGTCGAGCCACCCTGTGTGCGGCGGAGTAGCGTCTCGCCGCGGCCGCCATTAATCAATCCCAACAGGAAGTGCGAGAGCGTTGCAAAATCGTCGAGTTACGGATACCTGGCCACGCGGCTGACCTTGGCAGGTCGAGCGTTCCTTCCACGTCCGGATCGCACGCGAACGGTGCGCGCCTCCGTCGCTCCCCGTCTGGATCCACGTGACGGCGTAATCGCCACCGTCGATTATCAATGCTAATCGAGCCCGGCTCTATACGTTCCGCGACAATAACTTTACGTAAGCCAGCGAAAACACGTCGCGGAACGTCCGATTCTATGCGGGGAACGCGGCTTTCCGCGAACCCAACACGGATTTTAGTTGCATCTCGATCATCTAGACTCCCATTATCCACGGTAGTGGTTAACTAGGATATGGTTATCCCGAACAGCAAGTCATAACTACGCTATAATTTGTTTGATTCGAACTAGCGAGCTTAGAATATAATTGGAATCGTTATCTAGCGTGTAGGTATATGGATTTGACAAAAAAACATTCGGACGAAGCCCTTTGATCGAGGTTCCAAACTGTAGTGCCTCGTTCGTTGACCAAAAATCGGGTCCGTTAAATTTCTATCGGCAGTGGGGATGGTTCGCTTTCCCTAAATGGTGCTAAAATTCAATCTTTACGCGAGGTAATGCTATACCGAGCTCTAATCTCGTCCGGCGTTTCACCGTGGACCGTAATTCACCGTATCACGGCCCATATATCGAATCATTCATTTCGCGCGTAATGTATACGCGACGCGGGCCTCATAAGGGGCCGCGTTCCGCGCGGTAGGTATCGCTCGAAAAAACTGGTACGCTCTGAAAAATCGTTGCTCCGTCCGCCGCGAGTCGATTTGTCGACTAGCGGACCGTGATCCTCTTAGGGTACCTTTCCACCGCTGCAACTCGCGCTGTCCGCTCGAAAAATTCTAAACCCAACGACGAAAGATCCACGAATTCTTTCTACCGGAGCATCCAAAATATTTCACGTCAATTTTTATTTTTACAATATAAATCAACACAGAGGCGTTCGAAGAATTGAGAGTCGTATTGTATTCACGAGAAACTGAACAATTGTCAAAGGAGGTCGTCGAATACAAGATTCACCAGGGATTGAACGCACCTTTTAGAGGATTTTGGGGCATCTTTCGCGAGAGATCGCGAGAGCAAGCGGTGTAAACGTACCCTTACGCGATCGTTGCAGGCGTGTATATGGACCGAACGCGTACTCTGGTATCGTGTAGACCGCGGCTATCAAGGATAACAAACGGGCGTAGACTGGAACCAATGCGTCAGTCCGCAGCGACTGGTTGCACCACCCGAGCAATAAGCAATCGCTTAGAGTCGTCATGACTCTATGCATGAGTTGGGCAACGCTGGCGTACGCAGGACGATTTTGCCCCGGCTCCACGGTCCGCAACGTTGGCACGGCCTCTCGCCGAGTGAAATATCGTCGGACCCGGGGTTACCGGTTAGGGTTCGAGAGATCGACGTCCAGCAGCTTGATTCGCGCTGCGGGAGAAACTGGAGCGATCTAGATCGAGCCGGCCACCGATGGGAGGCTCGATCGCTCGCCGTTGGATAGTCGATTGGAAGAACGGTTCGCGTCGCTTTTGGGCACGCGGATTACGCAACCCGGCATACTCGACCCTAATTGTATTCAATTACTTAATTACCGAACCTGTCGCTTCCAAGTACATACGAGCGTATCGGAGTAAAAATAAAATCCGTACTCAGTACCGCGATAATTTTTGCGACACGGAACAAACACGGAGGATAAATCGGCGTAACGACGCGTTCCATTCGTCATCCGTGGTTGAAATAAAATTTTGCCCGTCGCTGGCGAATCGACGAGCGTTTATCCACGCGGCGGCGATTACGCACGCGACTCGATGGCTTTATGAATTAATAACCAGTCGAAGACGCGGCTCATTACTCAGCCCCATCGACGTTCGCGGTCGTTACGCGAGTGCTCGTCCGACGCAATCAATTAAAGCTCATTACGGTCGTCCTTTTCTATCCCCGGGTCGTTAATTCGTTTAAAACCGGGAAACGGTTGGAAAGGCAGTACGTGGAAGGGGGGAAAAAATCGCCTTGGACACACGAGATACGAGGCTGCGTTTACACGCGATCGCTTCTTATTCGATCCGCGTAGGACGTGAGTAAGTAGTCGATCAATGGTTGTTCGTGTACGCGTTCGGGACGCGAGTCGGTCCGAATGGTCTCTCTGGTCCCTGGAGAGCTGTTGACATCCAGCTCGGTGCGCTATGTTGGTTGCTTCTCGTATTTTATGCGCGCGTCTCTCCTTTCGGAGTCGATCTTTCCCTCGAACGCGAAAGAGAAAAGGGATCTCGAAAGGCACTCGCATGCGATCGCGATCGCCAGTCTCTCGTGTATCTTAAAGGACTTCCGGAACTCGGGTATTTCAGCAATGCACCGACCGTCCCTATACCTGTTTTTCTTTTGTGCAAATGAACCGATCAACGTCGACGTTTCAGTTCTTTAATCAGAGTTCGACTCGTTAGCTCCTGGTATTGTGCGTCGGACCGCGGCGTGCTTCGTTCTCAACTATTCCTGGTACTTCCTGCGCGAATCGCGACGCATAATTACGATGTATTGTATGGAGAGAGGAAGATCGGACCCTGCTGGTGGCGAACCTGTGCAGAGCCCGTACCCTCCCGAGAACGCGATACACGTAAAATATTTTTAATGGAACGGACGGAACGACGAAAGAATTAATTTTTTTCTGTTCCTTAACATTACATCGAACGACTCGAGTCCAAAAGCGAACGGAATACGAAATACGTGCACGTGCGTCGTGAGATGCTTCCAATACGATGCGTGAGACCGCGCCGCCCATAATTGCCCAATAAAATTATCCTAATGGCGCGGCACCGGCGTACGAACGCGCAAGGGACGCCCGGGGAGGGTGAAATCCTCGCGAAAGCTCGTCCAGCGTCCCGGGAGAATCGTCCCATAAAGAGCAAATCGACCGCGAGACGCGTGTCCCTGGATCCAGATTTCGATAGACGAAACTGGTCTCGGCGAGCCTAACGACTTCCTGCAAGCTTCACAAATGAATGTAAATATTAAACGAAAGGAGGTATCCATGTTTGAAGAATATATGTGTTTTGACATATTTGGTAATGATATTTATTTTGTCTAAAATACGGAGTAGATCGAGGATCAATTTTTGAGGATTGACCTTTGGTAGAAGGGCCAAGATCAATGTTTTCGAATGGAAGACCGACGACTGATTATATCGCGAGAGCTATCATTATTCTGGTAAAAGTGGGACAGTCGTCTAGGCAAATAATTAGCAAAATGAGCCTCGAAAGGTCTCAGGATTCCTGTCCCCGTCGCACGAGGATGAAATCCCCGGTGAAATCGGTCGGCGCGTTCCAGGAACGATCGTCCCATAAAGAGCGTATCGACGGCGCGTGGAAATCAACGAGGAGACGGTTGTTCCTCGATCCAGATTTCGATAGTCAAAAGGGACGACACTCGAAACTGGTCCGGCGGGCGGCACGACTTCCTGCATGCCCATATACGCTCGCGAACCCGTAGTCGGCGGAGCACGCTGGGTGCAGCCGCGACGTCGCAGGCTATCGTCGTCGTCTTCTCCAAGAGAGAGTGAGAGAGAGAGAGAGAGGGGTTACGAACGGAACCCTGGCGTGCACGGAGAGCGTTAGGGGTTAACGAGGGCCGATCGTGCGATCGGTCGATCTTTCCCAAGAGCCGAGGCGGCCCAATTAGAAGGTACGTAAAAGCCGGGCGCATAATCAGCAATTTGTATTGTTGAAGGATAAGGCTGTGCTCCGCGGACGACGGAATCTCCGTCTCCCTCTGTTTCTCCGGGTTGCCTAGCGTCGTGTCCGCGTCTCTGGTTTCTCTTCTCTTCCCTCGGCTACGTGCGTTCCATCTTCGAAGTCTCTCGTCTTTTTCCTCTTGCCGGGGCCGTTTCACGGAATAACTTCATACGCGAGACGGGCACGGATACGACGAACCAGACCACGTGGGAGGAGAACAAGGAGTGGAGGAACGGGGGATGGCATCCGATTAAGCTATGCAATCGCCAATTATCGGCAATTTGATCCGGTTATAACTCAATTTATAGTAATTGGGCCGCGACCGACAGCGTCTCTCGCGGATCTCCCTCTTTCCATCGACGCTCCGTCTCTCTTTTACGCTTTGAAGAGCTCGCGCGAACGCCACAGGGTGGGGGGAAGAGCGAAGATACCGCGAAGTACGTCGACGCTGCTCACGTTTGAGCGACCCCGATCTCCGCTCGCTTTTAGCGCCCTTCGACGATCGTAAATTGCCGATCGAGGCGGCGCG